ATATTAAATTACAATGTAAAAATCCTTTTACTACTACTACATATTTTTATAATAGTTATTTTCTGTGTAAGAAAAAAATACCTTCATTCATTTTTTTATTGGAATATAAATTTTTCCTTATAATTTTGTGAAACCTCTGAATATCTGCAAATTTTGTGATAAAATAGAATATTATCACAAAAAAAATATCTGCAAAATTATAAATATTCTTCTAATTCACAGAAAAAGATATCTGAATTAGCAGTTCATAAATCAATTTTTTAAATGTATAGCTTGCTTAATATTTAACATTTCTGAATTAATTTATTTTAGTAAGCTATGTTCATAACTAAATCTTATTTTAGAAATCATTAATCATTTGACATTTTTCTTAATGGCATTGATCATTCAATTTTAATAATTTGCAATATGATTAATTCAATTTTTTCTTAATGTGATGTCAGTCATTTGATTTTAAAAGGTTTTGTTGTAATTAATACTGTAAAATAGTAATTTTACATATTGTGGAAATCAATAAATAAATCTGGAAAGTTGATGCAAATAAAAATATCTCAAACAATGGAGAAATAAATATTCTAACACTCTAAATATAACAGACTTTTAATTCTTAGTTTTAATTTAAACAAAGTAATTTAAATAATTGGAAATAACTTGAAAATATTTCTACACAGAAGGTTCAAGTAATACATTTAATTAAGATTTCAAAGAAATCAGAAAACTAGATGCTAGAACCTTTAACATGTATAAAAATATTGATTATTATTGAGAATTTATAAAATCATAAAAAACTGTCACTTCCAGATTTAACAAGTTTAATTAAAATATTACAATTCCAAAGAGATTCATTAACAGAAAGAAGTAGAACTTTAATGAAAGAAAACGAAGATTTAAAAGGAGAAAGAGCATTATTAACACAGAATAATCAAAATTTATATCAAAGTAATCAAACTTTAAGAAACAAAGTACACTCCCCTACAAAAAATTTCCAGACACTTGCAGATCATCAAAATATGTGGTAAATGAAAAATAAAATAAAATAACTTTTTACTATACAATGATAATTTATGTAAATAAGTAAGCTTGTTTGAAATATCAAATTACATATTTATAACACTTTTTGTAAATTTTGAATGAAAATTGAATTTTACAGAATGATTTGAAAATTATTAAAAATTTCTGAATTTCAACGGAGAAATTCTACCCACCCAAAAATTAAAAACAAGTCTAAAACAAATTTATATAATTAATGAAAGTTTTTTCAGAAAGAGTCAAAATATTTAAATGTAAAAATTCAGGGTGTTCTGCTTAACACTTAAAAAATTATGCAATAAAACAGGAAAAAAATAGCAAAGCATCTTTGATTAGCATTTATT